TTCAGTGTTTACATTCCTTTGTTTTTATCAAACATGTTTTCTTTATTTTTCTAACAGTTCTGACATGGAGGTGTTCTATGAATACACTCCTGCTACGAGTCAGAAACTTCACATGGGAAACTCCTCCACGTCTGATGTGGTTGGAGTGGGCACTGTGGTGCTGAAGCTCACTTCTGCAAAGGAGTTGAAGCTGAAGGATGTTCTGCATGTCCCAGACATCCGCAAGAATTTGGTCTCGGGATCACTTCTTGTTGAGCATGGATTTAGGCTGGTGTTTGAAGCTAAGAACTTTATTCTTAGCAAGAACGGAATATTCCTTGGTCGTGGTTATCTCGACAAGGGATTGTTCAAAATGAATGTAATGATTGTAAGCCGTGTAACCATTGATAATAAAAAACCTATTTCTGTTTATACCGTTGAGTGCTCTGATTTATGGCATATTAGATTGGGACATGTAAATCTAAATGCAATCAAACGGTTGATGAAATTAGAATTAATTCCTAATTCTAAAGTTGAGACAAATACAAAATGTGAAATTTGTATTGAAGCAAAATTGGCTAAGTTACCTTTCCACTCGGTGGAAAGGAGTACTGAACCATTAGGCTTGATCCATACTGATGTATGTGATATGAAAAGTGTGCAAACAAGAACCGGTAAAAAGTATTTTGTAACTTTTATCTATGATTACACAAGGTTTTGCTACTTATATTTGTTAAGAAGCAAAGATGAGGCTGTGCAAGCATTTAAGATATATAAGACCGAAGTTGAAAATCAACTCGGCAAAAGGATTAAAATAATCCGAAGTGATAGGGGTGGGGAGTATGTGTCTCATTTTGAACAAATATGTTCTGAATATGGCATAATTGATCAAACGACGGCCCCTTATTCTCCACAGTCGAACGGTGTTGCTGAACGCAAGAACCGTACGTTAAAAGAAATGATGAATGCCATGTTGATTAATTCAGGATTACCACAGAACATGTGGGGGGAAGCTGTTTTGACAGCAAATCATATCCTGAATAAAATACCCCCTAAAAGGAAAGATGAGACTCCTTACGAATTGTGGAAAAATCGTAAGCCGTCTTATAAATACCTGAAAGTGTGGGGGTGTTTGGCTAAGGTTTCAGTACCTGAACCAAAACAAATGAGAATCGGGCCAAAGACGGTCGATTGTGTATTTATTGGATATGCATACAATAGTACAGCATATAGATTTCTGGTTCATAAATCAGAAAATCCAGAGGTATCTGTTGGTACCACGATTGAGTCAATGAATGCTATATTCTTTGAGAATGTTTTTCCTATGAAGGAAAGGGCAGAATCTAGTTTTAATAAAAGAACGTATGAAACTGCTAGTGGTTCTGTACCCGAGGGTACTAATGAAGAACCGAGACGTAGTAAAAGGGTGAAAACGGCTAAAACGTTTGGACCTGATGTTATTACGTACATGTTGGACGATGAACCGAGTTCCCTTAAGGAAGCTCTGTCCAGCCCAGATGGACCACTCTGGGAAGAAGCTATAAATAGCGAAATTGAGTCCATTATGCAAAATCATACTTGGGAGTTGGTTGATCTCCCTGATGGTTGTAAACCTTTAGGTTGCAAGTGGATCCTAAAGAAAAAATATAAAGCTGATGGATCGATTGATAAGTTTAAAGCACGTTTGGTGGTCAAAAGCTTTAAACAAAAGGAAGGGTATGATTTCTTTTATACCTATTCACCTGTTACGCGTTTAGCGTCGATAAGAGTGCTTCTCTCGATTGCT